CACACACACACGCGCCCTCGCACACACACACACACACACACACACACACACACAGACCTCTGACAAAAACAAGAGAACTGAATCAAAGAACTGTTGTTTGTTTTTTGTTCAACTTGGACTGAACCTCATGCGAGTCTGTAACTACAGTCTGAACCATGTGACTGTAACTACAGTTCAGTGGATAAAACTCCTGTTCAATCAACTTAGACTAGATTCCTGTACTGGGAGCTGTACTGGGAGCTGTACTGGGAGCTGTACTGGGAGCTGTACTGGGAGCTGTACTGGGAGCTCTGGTCCTGTTCCTCTTGTTATGTGGATTTATTGGATTTGAACTCTCTTTGTTAAAACGAGTCATCATCAGTCTACTGAGCGTGTGGGCGGAGCTACAGGACAGAACGTAGTCAGCTTGGGAGAAGTATACTAACATAGAACCAGAGAGAACCATGCAGCCTGCTGGACTGGACTGATCATCACAACCACATCTCTCTCTCTCACTGAGCCAGGTTTATCAACATCAGAGACTGACAGGCAATCAGGTGCAGCGCTGTTCAAAGTCACACACACACACACACACACACACACACACACACACACACACACACACACACACACAGTCTTGTCTCTGGTGTCTTCAGCGTTGCCAGGGTTGACCCCACCCTTGCGTTGCCATGGCAGCAGCAGCTGTTCCGAGTCTTCAGTTTGACCCTCCAGTGTAAAGTTACAGAGAGTACGATGACCCAGCTCATTCCTATACACACACACACACGCACACACACACACACACACACACACACACACACACACACACACACACACACACACACACTTCATTCCTCTCTAGGCTCCTACATGATTTTCTTTCAGACCCTCCTCACCTTCCTCTGATCAACCGCTGACCTCCTCTCCTCTCCTTATCTCCTCTCCTTGTTTGGTCTACTTGTTTCCTCTCCTTGTCTAACCTATGTAGAGAGGGTAGACAATCAGTCACCGAGGTGTTTGGAGACATAGCTCCAGAGGGAGGGGGCAGTTAGGTGATGGGGTGAGGTAGGGCGGGGTTAGATGATGGCTCATGAAGATCACACTGGGCACTGATTTGATGTGGGTGGGGCAGTAGGTTGGAGTGGAGTGAGAGCAGCTGATCTTTCCACCATGAAGTGGAGGAGGAGTTGGAGATGGGGCATTTGTTGGTGCTGTTGAACTGAGATGTGACTTGAGGGCAGTACAGGCATGAAGAAGGTGGAGGAGGATGAGGAGGGAAGTGTTGCCTGAATCATCAGTTGATGGTGATGATGGTGTTTGTGATTCTCACTGAGTCACTGAAAGGTCAAAGTCCACACGAATAATCTAACTGAAATTGATTTTTTACATCTTGTTCCTTTAAATCAGAGAAGAAACACAGTGCATTCTGGGATGTTTGCACATAATCATTGTTTATAGAAACTGAATCTGATGAGTTCATCGATTGATCAGTTAAACATTAAACGAATTGATCACTGTGACTTATGTGACTGATCTGAATACTGTTATTGATAAGAGATGATTTAACACCAGTGATGTTACAGTGTATGAAGAGCAGCTCATATAAACACTGTAAAACTTTAACTCATGATTTATCAAATTTATTACTTCAGATATGATCCTCTTCACCTGTCTGTCTGTCTGTCTGTCTGCCTGCCTGTCTGTCTGTCTGTCTGCCTGCCTGTCTGTCTGTCTGTCTGCCTGCCTGTCTGTCTGTCTGTCTGCCTGCCTGTCTGTCTGTCTGTCTGCCTGCCTGTCTGTCTGTCTGTCTGCCTGCCTGTCTGTCTGTCTGTCTGCCTGCCTGTCTGTCTGTCTGTCTGCCTGCCTGTCTGTCTGTCTGTCTGCCTGCCTGTCTGTCTGTCTGTCTGCCTGCCTGTCTGTCTGTCTGTCTGCCTGCCTGTCTGTCTGTCTGTCTGCCTGCCTGTCTGTCTGTCTGTCTGCCTGCCTGTCTGTCTGTCTGTCTGCCTGCCTGTCTGTCTGTCTGTCTGCCTGCCTGTCTGTCTGTCTGTCTGCCTGCCTGTCTGTCTGTCTGTCTGCCTGCCTGTCTGTCTGTCTGTCTGCCTGCCTGTCTGTCTGTCTGTCTGCCTGCCTGTCTGTCTGTCTGTCTGCCTGCCTGTCTGTCTGTCTGTCTGCCTGCCTGTCTGTCTGTCTGTCTGCCTGCCTGTCTGTCTGCCTGTCTGTCTGCCTGCCTGCCTGCCTGTCTCTCTGTCTGTCTGCCTGTCTTTCTCTCTCTCTCTCGCTCTGGTTCCCACAAATATTAGGCTACAGCCAGCTAAAAACAGCAAAACACACACACACACACACACACACACACACACACACACACACACACACACACACACACACACACACACACACACACACACAGGCGTTGCAGAGTGAAGGTGTTGTTCAGGTCATTAAAGACAAGCTCTTCATCGTCTCCTCTTCTCCTCTTTCTCAATGCTGCCTATTTCATTTCTCAACACTCATCATCATCATCATCATCATCATCATCATCATCATCATCATCATCATCATCATCATCAAAACAGTGAGTGGCTCATGTTCACAAACTGTGGCAGCTCTCCCGTGGTAATTACCATGGCTACTAGCCAATGGCTGCAGACATGTAATCATGGACAACAGCAGGGACCACAAACAGCAGCAGATGATGTGTCACCTCTGCACTGACCAGAGTTACTTCACTTCTGGACAGTTACAGGTGTAATGTCACAGCAGATGTCAGCTGTCATGGCGTATTGATAGGGACTACAAACAGCATCAGTCATTGTGGCATCACGCCAGAGGCCGAGGCACAAAAGGTGGCAGCTACTGTGACCACAAACATCGGTCGTTACGTTTCCACTACTACACCGATGAGATCTGTCTCACTCCACCTGACCAACTGCCCCACCCACATCAAATCATGTAGGGAACTATCCTGTCTGAGTCCAGAGGGATCTTCATGAAGCATCAGTAACTACTCTCTGCCCGCTCCCCGACATTCACGAGCTCAGAGTCATCTAACTGCCCCTCCCTCTCAGTGAGTCATGTGACTGTTCAACTGTAAACTCAGCTTTAAACTGGTTTTAACATTTGATACTGAAGTGTATTATCCACTTCATTTCCTTCTATTTCAACATTCTAAATTGTTGTATGTTCTTCTTCTTCTTCTTATGTATGTTTTATCCTAAAGTTCAAGAAGGCTGTCAATTAAGACTTTGTCAAAGGTTTCCTTGAACCACCCATTATAAGTTGAGTTTAAGGAATGTGCATTAGGGGGTAAAACTGTTTACACATCGGTTTTCTGTTACATACGGTACGAGAGACTCAGGATGTGGGTTTTTGCTGGCCTAAAAGGGCAAAGGCCAGAGACCAGAGGCCGTAGACCAGATGTGGTCGACCATTTGGGTGAAAGCTTCTTCTTATAGGAAGAAGTGCACATTCCAAAGGTGGGTTGAGGCAGATAAATAGAGGGGTTGTGAGACGGTGGAGGAGAGATCTCACATTGGCAGAGATGCTCCAGGATTCGGCATTTTTGACACTGTTTCTTTCTTGTAAATAAACTTCTTTTGGATTGCAAGTACAGACGTGTCAGCGGTGATCACTTCTTCACATCAGCACCTCAAGATACCACAATTCCTAATTTGTTTTTACTGTTTATTATCCAGGACGTAAAGTGTCTTATCTTCAAAGCACTAGTGCAAACAGCAGCATCCTCAGCAGGTGCCTCATCAGTCCTGGCTCACCTTGCTCACCTTGCCCACGTATGTGACAGAACAAATGTTTGTGGGAAACCAAAGTCATCAGTTGATGACTCATCACGGAGTTTACTGAATCTGATGTTACACATGAAGAGGATGCCTGTCATCAGAGGTCAACAGGCTAGCTGTTAGCCACCAACTGTTCTCTCATGTATTGAGCAGGTTGAGTTTAAAGCATAAACTTCAATGTTTAAATACTGGATTAAGTAAATGATATCAGAGTCGGTCTCTATAATTTCTCTGATAACAGATGGAGGTCTTTAAAAAGTCAGTCAAAACCTTAAAAATAAAAAAGTCACATTAACTTCTGCTGTCGTACATAAAGATGGAAAAATGCTAAATTATGTGAATTATTTCCTGACGTCACTCAGTGAGTAGAGTGCATTCAGTTTTCTCATTAAACAGAGCACAAGACATTAACACATTGATATTAATGAAAAGTCTCAGTTAAAGATCTGAAAACATGTTTCTCTGCTGATAAATATCAACATGTATGAACACATGAACACATGAACACATGAACACATGAACACATGAACACATGAACACAAGACTGATCAAACATGTTACTACAGAAACATTCATGATGTTAAAATCGTCTTACTGTGTTCAGCTGCTGTTGGTTTGTTCACTGCTTTAAAACTGAAGGTGTGTGTGTGTGTGTCCGTCACTAACATGTCGTTGAGCCTCTTGTCTTTGTGATAACAGGCGCCACACAGAGACTCACTGAGACAAACTGCATTAACATCACTCACATTCATCTCCTTTTTCACCACAACATGTCACCACATAAAATTCTTATCTTCAAACTTTAAATAAAAGTAAAGACCAGAATCAGATGTTGTTGAGGCCAAGCCTCTCAGTTACTGTTGACATTTTTAAATCATATTCAACTAAGTTTAACCCTTAACCGACACGCAATGTTCAGTAAATATACATTTCTTCAATGCTGCAGTTTACACAAGAAGAAGAAATAAAAAGTACAGCACAAGTCGAGTCAAGTCAAGTGCAATGAATGAACAGAGCTGTCACACGTCAAATCTCCTACTCAGAACCATTCACTGGTTTTAATGAAAGGACTGGAGATGTCTGATTGGTCCAGATTCAGGACAACCAAACACAGAAGAAGAACTGACACAGGTTCTCTAAGACGCTGTAATCACCTACCTGGCAAGAACCTGGAGAACGGAGAAAAGGTGTACCGAGGAGAGTTGGAGCTGGTGAAGCTAAGCTAAGTCTAAAATGAAACAGCTGGTTTATCAAACGCTGACATTGTCTTTCTCTCAGAGAGACAGACAGGTAACTCATGAAGCTGTCTGTCTGTCCTGTCGCACTGCCTTCATACTCACACACACACACACACACACACACACACACACACACACACACACACACACACACACACACACACACACACACACACACACACACACACATGCATAGCTGTTATCAGTGTTGTTGTTCCTGCAGAGTGTGATGTTGTGTCACTCTGATAGAGAAAAGTCCTGCTGCTTTTAATGCACCAACACACACTTGTGTGTGTGTGTGTGTGTGTGTGTGTGTGTGTGTGTGTGTGTGTGTGTGTGTGTGTGTAACTGTAGACCACAGAATGTTGTTGGACGCAGTCAGAGACGCCCGGCATTTCCTCTCTCTCTGTCAGCTCAACACGCTAAAATAAAACGATGTGTGTGTGTGTGTGTGTGTGTGTGTGTGTGTGTGTGTGTTGGGAGAAGTTTGTCCTCAGGGCTTCCTGCCACAAAGCCTTACTGGCAGAAAGACTCTGGCTTGAGTTTTCTGTTGCAGTTTGGTTCAGTTCAGGTTCAGGAGCAGGTCCTGGTCCTGGTCCTGAGTGACTGTGGGTGACAAAGTCCTCCTATAGCCAGGGGGCGCTGCAGTCACACACACTGACTATAACTGTTTCAATATTACTGTTCATTATGTTTGAATAAAATACAAGAATCAACACGTCTCCATCACATTCAGAGTTTGTACTGGCTGTTTGCAGTACGATTGGCTCCTTCACAGCTGTGCGGCCAGTAACAGCCAATCATATTCATGAAGGTGTTATAACCTGACCTCATCATTGTTGCTCTGCTGCTCATGTTAACACTTGTTGTTGCTGCAGCTGATGATGACATTATTAAGGAGTGAAACAGTGAAACTGGTGATCAGCTGGTTATGAAACGTTCATGGGTCTGCTGCTGTGCTGCTTGTCCACTCTCCCCTCCTGTCTCCTGTCCTCCATCTGTCTCTGTCTCTCTGGACTAACCACGTCTCCTCAACCTCCATGGAAAACGTCAGGAGGTCGGTGTTTGAAGGAGCGTTCATCAGAACATGGGAAGAGACAACCAGTGGTGCTCACACTGGGCATTGTGTTTTTAAACTAACTTTGCTGTTTCCTGTCCAACACAGAATCACATGAGCTTTTAACCATCAGTCCCAGGAGGAAACAACAACAAGATACTATTGAAAATAAAAACAAAACAAACACAAATGTTGAAGTGATATAACATGAAGGAATATACAAGTAGAGAAAGTTAAGCTAAATAATGAACTGAGCAAGAGGTCAGAATAAATGATATTCACACATAAGTATATAGAGTTCCCTTACCTTTGACCTTTTAGACATTGAGTATAGAGAAAGTAGAGAAACTCTTTAGAAATTTTAAGTGCATGACACCATGAGTGGAACGGCATTTATGTATTTGTATCAGATAAAACTGCTGCTCTGTTTCTACATTAATGTGGCTCTGCTGTGGTGAAACTACGATGCTGCGTTGCTTTAAATGTTGCTGCAGCAAGGAATTGTGGTACGGCATTTTTCCTTCCCTTTAGTGAAGGAAGCTGCATGTGTGTATGTGTATTTATGCGTGTATATGAGTATGTATGTTTATGTGTGTGAATGTGTGTGTGTGTGTGTGTATTTCTCTGTGTGTGTGAATGTGTGTGTGTGTGTGTGTGTGTTTGTGTATGTCTCCATTACATCTACTGTTGTTTCTCATCCAGTCTTCAGCAGGTCATTGCTTCAGCCTCTTTGGTCATGAGCTCTTGGTCACTTGGAATTGTTAATTGAGTTTTATTTTCTCTGAACTAACCTGTGTCTCCTCGTGTCATTAAATACATAAGCTGAGTTTTAAATGGTTACTATTTCTGATGGTATAGAATTAGAATTTCATTTTGTCACTAATTTTACATTTATCTGATAAATGTAACTCTTCCCCTTATATTTGGAGTTTGGACACTTCCTTAGGAATTTGACTGGACTGTTTGGACTTTTTGTTTAGTTCCTGTCTTACTTTGAAATAATTTACCTTGTGTGTTTTGTGTTGTGTTACTTCCTGTCTTCCTCCCATTTCCTTCGTCAGTGATTGTCTGTTTGCTTCCTGTGCATGTCAGATCAGACTTTGTGCTTCTGATGACGTACAAATTGTAAATGGACACGGCCCTTAACACCCATCTGATCCTCAAACCTTATATTCCGTCTCGTGCTCATCACTCCTGTCTGTCCCCAGGGTTAAATAGAAGTCAGCAGGGTGTAGGGTGAAACCTTTCATTTTGTTCTGATAAATGTATCTCAACAGATGAATTGTTGGTGTGTGTCTGACTGAGTCACACTCATACAGAGACGCTCTGACAGTCAACCTCAGAAGTTTCTCTAGTTTCCCTGAAATCTCTGTGGACTCAAACCAGCTACAGTACACAGCTGCTGCCAGACCTGAAACACATCCTCACACTGATGTACAAGTGTGTGTATGTGTTTCTGTGTGTGTGTGTGAGTGTGTCACTGTGTGCTTGCTGAGTGTGTGGTTCGTGAGGATCACATTGCGATTCAGATGCCAAGTAACTTGTAACTCTAAAACCTCCAAATGTGCAGCAATCACATGTGTTACTGTGTGTGTGTGTGTGTGTGTGTGTGTGTGTGTGTGTGTATGTGTGTGAGAAAGAGGGAGCAAGAGCAAGAGTGAGAGACGCTGTTCAGCTTCATTCAACCTTATTGCTCCTGAAGACTAAACCTACCAAGAAACTAAATGAAGCGACAGACATCACAGGTCTTAAGCTTGCCAGCAGGAAGTCATGTGACTACAGCAAACAACAACAACAACAACCTCCTCTCTCAAATGTATATATTGGCTTAGTAATCAATACTGGTCACAGTCTGATAACCAGAGATAAACTGTGACACATTTGTCATGTCTGTTATTACTGTACATTTAATGTCATGTAAATTAACGCACTCTTGCTTTGGGCATTAGTGACTTCCTGTCCATCCACGTGGAAAGAGATTTTCAGTCTGAATTATGTTTCTGTTGGAAATTAAATCATCTTTTATAATCTCATCTTCTTTCATCAAATGCTGTTCAAACTTCTAGAGCTTTATTTAAATGAACATGAAATGATGCACAGTGAATCTGATGACACATCCTGTAGCCCCAGTGTTTCATGTTGACACTGTTTGTATAAAGAATGTTTCAGAAGCTCTTGTTGATTAGCATGAAGCAGCTGATCAGATGTGAGCAGGCTGTAGCACAACTGTTTAGTCTAGCTAGCTGTTAGCTATTGTGTAAGGCCTCTGTCACCAGATATGTGTGATAATCCATCAATATTAAATCTGTCCTGGGTCAGGATCTGCCACCTTGTTTTATAGCATACATGCTAGCCTGAGCTTAAGCTAGCAGTGCTAATCTGACTAGCTAAATGCTATTTCCTCTGTTAGACTGTTAACCTTTCAGTGTGACCCTGCTCAGTTAGCATTAGCAGCCCGGCCACAGACGCACTGAGCAAATTTAGACTGCAGCAGTTGTTGGTGGCAGCAGTTAATATCTGATCCCTGATCAGCTTGTTCACCAGTCAGCTGGCCTATAAATACCAAGTCTGCTGGCTTATCTTCAACTCTAACCCGGAGTCAGCATAATGTTGTATAAAACCTGAAGCTCGTCAACGAGCTAATGAGCCACTCATTAAAACTATTAAAGTTTGAGTCTCATGTAGCTTTAGATAAAGTAGCAACGGCTGCTACAGTCTGTCTATAGCTGCTTCACACATCTGCTACAGAGATTACCTTAACGGGTGAGATACCTGGCCCTGTGTTCGTTCACTTCAGTTTCCCCTGTTACTCACCTGAAGCATCAGCCCAGTTGCTATGGTTACCTGCAGGTTAATAAACCCTTAAGCTGTCTCAAAAACTAAACAAAACCAGAAATTTAAATCTAATTTCAGTTTTAACTGAATAAACATCATCATCATTATCATCATCATTATCATTATCAAGGGGAACAATGTAACTTTTTACCTCCTGCTAATATTGTAGAGTTGTTGGTTTGATTCCCAACAGACAGCTTACTGTGTATGGTGTGTGTGTGTGTGTGTGTGTGTGTGTGTGTGAGAGAGAGACACATAGAGAGAGAGTTTTGCGTTAAGTCTGTTATAATCGGTTTGAATGAGTCTGATGACCTCATCAGTTAAATCAGAGAGGATCACTTTAACAGTAGCGCAGCAGGTGTACCACACACACACACACACACACACACACACACACACACAGTGCATTCAGATACAACACAGTAAAGTCTAAAGGTGACTTGAATGATGCATTCACAGTCAGATCCGATTCAGACATAAAGACTCTTTTGTTATTAATAATAATAATAATAATAATTTGTTTATGATTTTTAATGTATTATTCTGTTCTATGAAATGTTGTTAACAATATTCAAATATAACATTTTTCAACAAATTGTCCTTCTTGACTAGACTTTTATCCACTTCAGTCCTGAACCTGAAATCGTGATGACGACTTGTGGTGAAGTTATGAAGAAATATTTTGAAGATAAAAATGGAGTTTGATCGAAGACATTGCAGAAATCTGAGGTTTAAACCAAAACAAAACACATCCAACAGAACAAACTGTGACCTCTTTCTGTGATCTGCCCAGTCGTCCATGTAAACACAGTTAATCATCCAAGAGTAGAACAAACAGAAACAGGTGATGGGTCACACTTACCTGTTTCTGTTGTGTATTCCAAAATGAATCGAGTATTCATCAGAGTCTCAGCAACGTGGCTATCTCTCTGTCTGATGACCTGTCTGTCTGATGACCTGTCTCTCTCTCTCTCTCTCTCTCTCTGTGTTCCTGTGTCTGTCTCACTGTATGTCTGTCTCTCTCTCCCTCAGCCTGTCTGTCTCTCACTCTCACTGTCTGTCTGGTGTCTTCTGGCCTCGCCTTGCTTTGCCTCTCTGACTGAAACCTGA